ATAAGCTGAATACCTAGACCGTCGATCGTATTGAACGAGCTGGCTAATTTATATGATATGTATATGTCTTTTTCCCTCCTGAACCTGAAATCCACCTTCCTCAGAAACCTCCTACACGACCGGCAGCGCCAAGTCCAGCACCTGCAAGAGCCCAATCACCAGCAAAGCCGCCTGCGGCTGCTAAAAAACCACCTCCGGTCAAGAAGCCACTTCCTATTCCTACACCTAAACCACGTCCTGCACCGCCTCCTTATAGACCAGGACAGACAAAGTCTGCACAGCCGGGTCCACCTCCACCGATTCCACCGAGGCCGACTCCTCAACCAAAACCTGTTCCGCCTCCTTCTCCTAAGCCACCTATAATTGTCAGAAAGGTAAAAATTAGAGGGGCTTTAGCACCAGTATAGTTTTTGCTATTAATAGAAATCTACAATTAAAATTCTACAACTATCGATGGAGGTAGAAGACACTGCTTTTATGCTTGATTGTTGTGTCTTTATTTATTGAGCTCTTGCACCAAATCAAAAAATATTTGCATAAAATTATCATTAACAATAACTCTTATTTCTCAATAACTTGCACACAAGAGCGATGAGGAAGAATCAGGGTTAAAGAAACTTCTGCCGGGTTGGTTGAAAGGCAAGGTCAGTGTTACTGCTAATGATAATTTTGCTGTATTCTTAAAACATCAATCATATCATACTTGGACCAATTAATAATTTAACAATGTGCAGGAAATTTGATTAAATAGTTTGTATAAATTTGCCTTCTAATCAGAGTAATGTTTTTTTTTTTCTTAGGAACCTCCAAAGGTACAGGCTGCCCCACCGCCACCACCACCACCACCGAAACCAGCAGCAGCTCCAACAAGTCCTCCTCCTGCACCACCAAAGCCTGCAGCACCTAGTGCCCAGATTCCAGTCGCTGCCATGCGCCATGCTCAAGCCATTGACACTGCCACTATCAAGGTAAAAAGTTGACATATGTAAATGTATATTTATTATACTAATGCGTAAGATGTTTTTATCATTTTAGATGCCACCTCAAGATTATACCAAGGAAATTACGGGTACCAGGACTGAACAGCGTGTTAAGATGAACCGCATGAGACAAAAAATTGCGTCCCGGCTCAAAGAAGCACAAAATACCAATGCTATGTTGACAACATTTAATGAAATTGATATGAGGTTTTATTTGATGCACCATAAATATAAATTATTATGAATCTCTAATAAAATGTATATATATATATATATATTTTTCAATTTCAGCGCCATCATGCAATTTAGGAAAGATCATCTGGATGGATTCATGAAGAAATATGGAATCAAATTGGGCTTCATGTCTGCTTTCTGTAAAGCATCAGCCTAGCTGCTTTACAAGACAGCTGTTGTAAATGCTGTCATTGATGGGTGAAATTATCTACCGTGACTTTGTCGACATATCTGTAGCTGTTGCAACACCCAAAGGTCTTGTTGTTCCTGTGCTGAGAAATGTTGAGAGCATGAATTTTGCTGACATTGAAGTTGCTATTAATGAACTTGGAGAGAAAGCCAAAAAGGGTAATTCTTGTAAAATTGCTTAAACTTATTAAAACTAATACTGTATTCTTTATTTAGGTGCGATAACTGTTGAAGACATGGATGGAGGCACTTTCACCATAGTAACGGCGGAGTTTTTGGTTCATTAATGGGTACTCCTATTATAAATCCACCACAAAGTTCAATTCTGGGTATGCACGGTATATTTTGAACGTCCCATTGCTGTTAAGGGTCAAGTAAGTAGTTAAAATTATAAATTTAATTTTTTGTTTAACCTATTTTTTGTATTAATGTGTAAATATATTATAGGTCGTAGTTAGACCAATGATGTACGTCGCCCTCACTTACGATCATAGATGATTGATGGCCGTGAGGCTGTTATGTTCTTGCGAAAGATCAAGTCTGCAGTTGAAGATCCCCGAATAATTTTAGCTGGCTTGTAATTTGAAAACATGTAACATTTATTCACATCATCAATCATTTGGAACCAATCAAATTATTAGAATAGAAATAGCTGTTAAAGCATTATTTATTAAATTTAATTGTTTTATTATAATAATTTATTTTTGTATATATGATTCTTTATGTAATCATGACTTAAAAATTGATGAATTTATTCTATATTTTATGATTTGTATATTTTATTAATGTTTCAAAGTATTATACGACATCTTATGCAATCTTGTATAAAATCATTAATATCATCTAGTTGTATATTATTTGATTGTTGACTAGGTTGTAAAATGTTTTGGTTCGGTACAGTATTTTCATGCAAAGAACTTCATAATAAGCAATATTTAAATGATTGATTTTGTTGTGTAATTAAGTAATGTTAAATATAACAAGTGTTTAGTAAATGTTTTGTTTCAATTCAGAAGACGTCTGATTTGCAAACAGCTTTGAGTAATTGCACTATAAATGTATAAACGTCAGCTTAAATTCTGTCAATGTTTATCATGCACTTGTAAATTAAGGTACTTAATAAATGAATGTGATTTTGAATTGTGTGTTAATTTGATTCTTGTGTGTTTATTATTTTTTAAAATTTTTTTATATAAAAAATAAAACAAAGCAAAAGAAGAGATTTGTTCTATAGTTATTTTTGAATTTGGCGGGTTATTATAGCTTGATATGAATTGCACAATGGCAACACTAATGTCATAACCTTCAATGGAAACACTAATGTCATTCTATTACATATTCAAACAAAAATTATGAAATAAATAAATTTTAATTAAATTCCCGTAAAATAAGTCAAAGAACATGAAACCTTAAATATTTGCACCATATTTATAATGTCATACATTTTATTAACAAATCAATCATAATGGCAACTAAGGTTATAGCTACAGCAACTGTGAAAGCAATCAAAGGAAGAAAATTAATACCTACAAGGGCTGCATTGTCCTTAACACCTGCTGCAGTTAGTAGAATAAAAGAATTATTACAAGGAAAATCTGAATATATAGGCTTAAAAGTTGGAGTTAGACAAAGAGGCTGTAACGGGCTCTCGTACACATTAGATTATGCAGTTTCTAAAGAAAAAATGGACGAAGAAGTTGTGCAGGATGGAGTTAGAGTAATAATAGATAAAAAAGCACAACTATCTTTACTAGGAACAGAAATGGACTATGTACGAACAAAGTTGTCCTCAGAATTTGTATTTAATAATCCAAATATTAAAGGTACCTGTGGATGCGGTGAGTCCTTCAATATATAAAGAAATTTGGAAATGATAGTTGAAGCAGATTATGTAGCACACTAATAGGAATTCAAAACATTGACTACGAAATATAGAATTTATATTTTAGATTTGTTTTGTTATGTATATATTAATTTATTAATGTTGTTAGATAAATTTTGTGTAAATATAATATATATTTATAATTAAATTCATGATGTTTTATGTGTGAACATTTGTTCTTGTTTTTACAAGTTTTGTAGATGATTATGCAGAATATATTTTTTAAAATATATATTTTTTAATACACTTTCTATAATAAATATAAAACATACTGAAGCTTGATACATCAATAGGTAAAACAAAATAAATAACAAGTAGCAAGTAGCAGAAAATAAATACTACTTATCAAATAAGTAAAAAAATTGGCGTAAAAGTTATTTTTTTCTATTAATTTAAAATAAAATCATTATCTCCTTATTACATCACACTGATAAAATTTTAATATCTTCTATGTTTACACTTTGTTACCCCGGGAACGATAGTTGAAACAGTGTGATCAAAGCAAAAATTATTAAAAGTGGTTAAAACGCAAAATACTAATGAATGGAAAATATAAACGACAACAAAGTCTTGGTAAAATATCATTTTAGCAATATTTACAAAATTTATAATGTGATAATAAAGATTTTATATTTTTCAGAACCAAGCTTGCTGCAAGATGATGTGCATACAAGTATTGTTCTACAAATATTACTTTATGTAAATGTTCGCTTGCTACCAATTTGGTCATTTGTTACTATTTATTGTTTATACTTCAAGGTATAAAATAATTTATCCATATAATAATATTCATCCATATATTTTTTTAAGTTTAAATCTTATTAATTAATTTGTGCTTAATACATTTTTTTTAGTTTGATGAATTGAACCGAATTCATAGAATCATAATGGTTCCTTTGATATTAGGAGTAATTTCAATCGAATGTGTACGTCTATTTATGGGATACAATGGCAATCTTCGAGAGAAGGTAAACTAGTCCACATTCACCTAGTATTTTAAGTATTTTAAAGTTAACATTAACACTTTTCAGCTTTCTGATTTGGCCGGATTTTGGATTATATCAACAGTATTACAATTTCCTTTAATATGCTATATATTATTTAGTCCATACACTCTTTGTCCAATTGTCGAGAAATTATTTTACTTTGCAGTTGCTGCAATGAGTTTGATAGAAATATTTGTTAGTTTTTTTGTTGTAAAACGGTTATCACATTATACGGCTTTGAAATATTGTATGGAGGCACAAATAGGCGTTTTATGTAAGGCGAATGATGGAATTAGAATGGAACAAAATACTGTTTTTAACACACGGTAATGAAAACGTAAAAATAATAGATTTGTTATATATACAGGTATATATATATATATATATATAATATATATATATATATAAAGCGAGAGGTTTTTCTTCAGATGGTGAAATAATACGATAAAATTGTTTCGGGCATCCATCCAGTAATTAAAAAACAGATTTATTGAAAAATGTTTTTATTCAGAGAACATACGTTTCGGGTCTTGATTTGACCCATCTTCAGTGCTACAATCAAATATTTCAGGGTTACAAATTAAAACAATTTAACATTTTTCAATAAATCTGTTTTTTAATTATTGGATGGATGCCCAAGAAACAATTTTATCATATATATATATATATATATATATATACAGTGGCGTCGGAACCAAATTTTTGATGGGTGGGCTCGTTTTTTTTTTTTTGATAGGCAGCCAGTGGGCTCGTTTTTTTTTTTTAGAGATATTAAACCATATAATTTTTTGAAATTGATGGGTGGGCTGAGCCCCCCCATCAAAATTCATGGGTGGGCTCAAGCCCACACAGCCCACACGGTTCCGACGCCACTGTATATATATATATATGTATGTATATATGTATATATTGTTAGTACAGGGGAAAATTTACTCCTTTGAATTTCTTTTGTTCAAAAATTTGAAAAAAAAGAATGGTAAAAATTAGCAATACATTACTAGATACCAAAATCAATATAGACTGAAAAATTAAATTTAGAATAGGTTTTAAATTCATATATTTAGTACTATGCTTTCTAGCAATAATTATTAATAATCCTGTAAGTATTCTTGTTGAAAATATTTAGTATAAAAATTAGATACTCAATTTTTTATGAAATGTTAGACAATATATATATTTCTGTTACAAAATAAATAATTTACATTAAATTCATATTTTTTATTTTAAAATCTCACCAACGCTTCGGTTTTTGTACATGGACCAAAAAATCAATAAATGCGCCCATAACATAACCTTTGCGAATTATCTGACATTGTGTATACAGGGAATGTAAATAAAGCTTAAAATATTAATTTTAGAACGTTTTCTTTATTAAACTTAAAGTTTTTGTTATTATGAGTTAGTGGTTTTTCAAAATTCAACAATCCAATTAGAATCTAACGCGATTCCATGCGGAATCCAATGAGTCTCATTGAATCCAATTGGTTTAAAATAATAAAATAATGATAATATAAATATAAATAATAATATTTTTACAATGAAGAGGCAAAATGTGCGTACTTTATCTTTAGTTGTATGCACTTTTACTTACCTTTTAATTGGGGCTGCAGTTTTTGATGCACTCGAATCGGATACGGAAAGGAGGCGTTGGGACTTTTTAAAAGGTCAGTGTTTAAAAATATAGTGGTACCCCGATTTACGAGTGTTTTGAGATACGAGTCGGGAAAGGAGCAATTTGTTGCTTTGGCATACGAGCAAAATTTGAGATACGAGCTTTGAGCGAGTAAGAATTTTCTAAAAAAATGTTGAAGGCAAAATGTAAATATGAAAAATTTAGTCAGTTGTAAATGAAATTATCATATTTAGAAATTTACTCACGCGAATATACCGAGAATTATTATACTTTAACCCTTTCCACTCGGATGCCGCCGAGTGGAATGGTTTAATAGTGATTGTACAGTTTATGTTAAGGGGGTATTCTAGTGTAGAAATTCAAAAAATCGTTTTTTTTTTAATTTCATATTTTCAAAATTTAACTATCTAAGAATATGGGTACGAGAAGGTTTTTGAAAATTTGAATTATTTTCAAAGATATAGGTATTTTGCTGACTAGGCGGTCTCCATACTGGTTTGGATTCACGCAAAACTTTAAATGCGTTTTTCTCAGAACAGACTTTTTCAGTATTGTTGACACGATTTCTCGAGTTTTAATCGACCGATTTGCTTGAAATGTTCAGAGAGTCTTGTTTATAGACCTATCTATAGCCCGAACTAGGATTATCCCAAAATTCCAATTTTTACTATTTTTAAAAAATTTGAGAAACTCAAAAAAACAGTAAAAAAAACACTTTTTTTTAAACAGTCGCCAATTTGTAAAAAAAAAATTTTTTACTCATTGCTAGTTCGGGCGATTGCGACATCATTGTAGATCAATATTTTTTTTTATTTTTTGCATTTTCGATGGCTAGGAGGGCTGAAATCATGTCAAGACTGAGGTGCTAATTTTTTGAGACCACCGACTTCATCAGCTGCCAGTTTCTATTATTTTCAACTTTTTATTTTTTGTATTTGTTTTGTATTTTAATAATATTAATAAACAAGTGGTAAAAAAATGGATAGTAAAAACTTTCATTGCTTTCTTTTACGACACTTTAAAAATGACCTAAAATTCTTCGCTCTACACTAGAATACCCCCTTAAAGTTCGTGTATTTTGCTTTTATAATATTCAAAATACTTAACAAAATTCGAACGCCTTTACATTAAAAAAAAAAAATGCTTTGAGATACGAGCGATTCGACATAGGAGCGTAGTTATTTTATCTCGTATGTCGGAGTACCACATAGCATATAATATATATTTTCCTCTTATTTCTGTTCCTATTTATTTTAATTATAAATATTCTGCAGATGTGCGAGACAAAATGATTCACAAGTACAATATCACAGAAGAAGATTATCGTATGATAGAAATTGTAATAATAGAAAATAAACCGCATAAAGCAGGACCGCAATGGAAATTTGCTGGGGCCTTTTATTTTGCCACAGTAGTCTTAGCCATGATAGGCTATGGTCATTCGACACCAGTAACGATAGGCGGAAAAGCGTTCTGTATGGCCTATGCGATGGTAATAGAAAATAGATATAAATACTATTCTAAAAAATTATATGTTAATATTATTATAAATTATATCAATTACTGATCTTTTCCTATCCAAGGTGGGAATTCCTTTGGGCCTGGTGATGTTCCAAAGTATTGGTGAACGTCTTAACAAAGTGGCTTCTGTAGTCATCAAAAGAGCCAAACGTTATTTAAGATGCTCCCGAACTGAGGCTACAGAAATGAATCTGATGCTTGCAACTGGTATGTTATCATCAGTTATTATTACAACTGGAGCAGCAGTTTTTTCAAGATATGAAGGTTGGAGCTATTTTGATAGCTTTTACTACTGCTTTGTAACGTTAACCACAATTGGCTTTGGAGATTATGTTGCACTTCAGGTAATAATAAAAAATGAATTTTAATAATAAATGATTTTTGGCAATATTATTTGATCTATTTTTAGAATGACCAAGCGTTAACAAAGAAACCTGGATATGTTGCTCTAAGTTTGGTCTTCATTCTCTTCGGCTTGGCAGTGGTTGCTGCGAGCATAAATTTGCTGGTGTTGAGATTCATGACCATGTAATTTAATAAACATATTTATTCAGTATTAAAAACCTTTATTAAATAATTAAATGCGTTTTAGGAATGCTGAAGACGGTTTGCGGGAAGACAACGAGTTACAAGCTGCTTCTCGACACGTTTTATCATTGGAGAGTGGTGAATATGTAGGAGTTAATGGCAAATTGCTTGCAGGTAAGAGTTTTATATATATATATATATATATATATATATATATATATATATATTCACCAAATTTAAAAATAATCGTATTCCATCTAGAAAAAACTTGGTTTGAGAGATCTTGATGGATTCTAGAAAATACCACCACTTTAGTACAAACGATTTTCAAAAAACTCATGATTTCATGAAAAAAAAACATTAAAAAAACATCCAATTTCTCATTTATAATATCTCTGAAAGAATACGTATAAAAGTATATATATATATGATATGATATGATATATATGATATGATAATGATATGAAAATTCGAGATATTTTTCTGACTAATTATTGTTGTTTATTATTTTTTCATTACACAAATATTGATAGAGGTATTAATTAAGAAGTGCGCGGCTGTCCAACCAGAGGTCCTTCGAGCCCTTTAACCCTTCGCCGTTTCACAATAAGAGAAGTTACGGTAAAATTTATGATAGAAAAAGTTGTAACTCATTTAATCACCTTTAAAATAGTCTAATACAAGTTCTGATAAAATCAGAATTAAAAGAGTAATAATCCAATTAATGCGATGGATGGTGACGGAGTGCAAATTGTTTTCACTTCTGAACTTAAGATAAAGATTAGCCTATTTCCAAAATATCAAGTAAATTGGAGCACAGTAAAAAAAACTCACAGAGCAATAATTTTGTTGATCGTAAGTTGAATAGAGCACATGTGAACAGGATTTGACAAATTAATTCACTTCAAATATAAACTTAAGCAATAATGTATATTGATTTGTTGGAGGAAAAAATGCAATTTAGATATTAAAATTACTAAAAGCCAGTTAAAATATGGTACGAAATTATAAAAATTATAAGCAACATTATTGATGCAATTATTTTGGGTAGAAAAATAAAAGGTGATATTTCACCTTTGCCGCGAATGCTATATATTAATTCTTTCTGAATTTGTTGTACTTTTTAAAAAATTTCAATTTTAAACACGTGTATCTTATGCTATGACCATAAATCACAAAGCAGACGATCATTTTTAGTGTGATAAATTTGGAAAATCAATGTTTTAGTCGTGAATGAACAAAAAATCATTCATTTATACATCCACATCTACATGTATGACTGAAAATACTATATAACCCTTAAATGCAATAAAATAAATTGAGCTGTTGGACATAAATTTGTTCTATAAATCGCAGTGTATAATTTTTAATATACAATTTTATTGAACATTTTTTAATATTTGTTGAATGAATAATTAAAGTGTGACCTGTGGGAATTGAGAATAATCATTTTATTTGAAACAGTTCTACATTCAACATCACTCATATATTGGTGTAAATAGTAATTCAAAAAACAGTAATTATTATTTTTAACTAAGCAGTAAATATTAGTATAAAATATTGAAAAATTATAGACGTGGGTACAGAACAACGTATGTCGGGTCAGCTAGTATATATATATATATATATATATACGTATATATATTATATATATATAACAATTTGTAGCATTGTAACGTGATACTGTAATCTTTTTTCCCAGGTCATCCTAGAGCTGATGCCGATGCAGCCCATGTAGATCAGGACAGTGTCTGTTCTTGCACTTGTCTCGGTGGATCAAGTATTACTGGTCACAGACGTCAGGATTCCTTCTTAAATCCTGCACCACCTCCAGCAGATTTAATTCCTGCTCCAGGAGTTGATGCCAGTGATTTACTCCTTCTGGAGTCTGCTTGTAACATTGGAGCAGGTTCTCAGGGCGCTGATTTTCTTATAGAGCCACCGGAAATATTTACATACGGTTTCAGGAGGAAACGTATGTCGATATGAGATAGGAACGAATATTCTAAATTATTTGACTAAAATAATGGTGTATTTTTTTCAAATGTGGTGTGATAACCATGTCAATGGGAATCTTGGATGTTTGAATGCTTTGAAAATTAACTTTACAATATTGGAATGAATTTATAATAATACAATTTAAATTTTAAAAAAATCTTTGTGAATTCGGACTAATTCATATATGATGTATTTGTGTAATATTTTTTATATTAATATTAGATAAAATTTAAACAAGATGTTTATACATATGTACTGAATATATACATGTAAGTTTCCCATAGAGTTCTGGTGTCTAAATTTACTAAGCAATTGGCTACAATATATTAAATATTTTATACTAATTAATAACGAATACAATATTTGTAATCGTTAGTGCATTTATTTTATTTGCGTCATGTACAATTTGAATTTTAAAATTCGCGCCATTTTTAAATCAGGTTCCAGTTGGTAGCGCCGCCATACGTCAACAAAAGTCAGTGTGTTTTTGTAAAAAGTCAAGTGCGGTGATAGTGACAATTCTTGCTTCTTATTTTTTTAACATGCCTAAAAAAGAAAAGGTATGTATCTTTTAAACTAAAGTTTATGTGCAAATAAATCTAAAGTGTTTAAATTTAAATAACGAATCGTTCTGGAACAGTATATTCATATATCTGTATTAATTGAATATGTAAAGATCGGCTGCCATGTCAGATCCTTTTAACATCAACAAACATGTCAGATTGCAAATGATTGCAGATTCTTTTGTGTTTTTTACAGGATGCACGTAAGGTTGTGAATGATAAGAAGACAAATGGTGAATTGGAAACAGAGGTAAGAATTTCATTTTAGTAGATGTAAATTTAATTTGCGGTAAACGAATTGAACATAACCTCACTAATTGTCAAAATAATTAAACCTCAACATACTTTTTTATTCTCAATCTACCTTGTTTAAAGCTATTACATTAATAATTCTTCACAAATAATTGCTATATATTTGACATACAGCATAATATTTCTCATTTTTACATATTTTATTCATTCTGTTCAAAGTATGTCAATATTCAAATTTTGAATAATGAAAGTTTTTTTTGTCATTTACTATTCATGTTTAGTGTTAAATACAATTTTAATGAGGTTTAGAAATTGAAAAATTGAAATTGAGATAGATAAATTATGTAAGACAGTTTATCAAAATTATCACCTGTGTATGTGTTCAATTTGTTTAGATTTGTTGATATATATATATATATATGATATATATATATATATATATATATATATATATATATATATATATATATAAGGAAGTCAATACAATTTCTTATATATTAATTGTGTAAATATATTCATTATCTAAATTGCCGTCTGAAACAAAAACTTCTTTGTTAACATAGTTTTCTTATCTCATACGTAGTCAGATAATTGTTATTAGTTTTTTTTATCTATCATAAAGTCTTTGTTAAAATATAACAATCTCATTGTTGTTATTTATTTATCCTTAACACTTAAATTTAATTATCAATTATACAATTTTCATAACATATGAGATTTATGTACACACAGCCATATGTTATAATATGTGACTATTATTTTTTATTAAAGATTCATAAGAATCTTTGGACGTGGTGATATATATTTTTGCATTGCATAAATATCTTGAAGATTCATTGATTTTTTCAAATATTTGTCAGAGAATTATTTATTTCTTTGATAAAATTCAATCCTATCAGAGCTATAGATAATATTTTCAAAATAAGACTAATCTTTTTAATAATTTATAGTAATTTTAATCATTCTTCAAGAATAACAATCCATATCTCTGTTGACCTCTTATTGTATTATTGTCCAGTACAATTGATAGTTGCTTCTTATGAGAAACTGTCTTGTATGAATCGATTTAGAGCTTTCACACACTTGTTTTAAATGCCTCAAAATAAAGACAAGAATTATAAATTTTTTCAGGAAATCTAAAACAGAATTTTTTATTAGATTAAATAATAAATTTAAATATGTACTTGTATTTTTCTCCTGAAAACTTGCTTATTTCTTCTCCCAAAAACAATATTTCTAATATATGTTACATGTATGGAATATGCCGTTATGACGAACAGAATTGATACTTTCTTATCTTAACACTTTTATTAATCTATTGTTATGAGAACTTTTATTTGATAAGCAATGTACAGCTTCAATCATTCTGTACAAGTAGCTGATACAGCATTATTTTAGTAGTATTTGTACTTTGTTACATTTACACGATTACTTGGTACGAAATTGAATTCATGTGTTTGAAAAACAAATATACATGGACACACCACTTACCCATCGCTATTGTAACTGATATAAACTTGGTTTATTATTGATTCTTTTTTTTTACAAACTTTTGCTTCCATGCTTCCTGGTGTAAATCATCAGTCATCTGCATATTTCTTCTTTCCAATCCTTTTAGTCCTTCTACTTTACCTTCGACGACGTCGTGTAAGAAGCACTCTTTTTGGAGGAATGGGTTCGATCAGTAGAGTTCTTTTTTCTCTCTATCAAAAATCAAAAATGTTATATTTCCTTTATTAATGTACAAGAAATATAAAAAGGCTACATAGGTCAGTGCTAATGTGGGCGTCAATAAATATGAAAAATAAATAGAATAAATAAAAATAAAAATAGAGTAAATTCCTAGAGAAATTTTTAACACAATATTTATATTACTCATTAATGAGTATTCAAGAAATTCATTGTAAGTACTACATAGTAGACAAATGATAAATCAAAGCGAAAACTATGAAATGTTAGGAATTTTTTTATTACCAGAAATTATAAAATTATAATTCAATTTATTAGTTATAAAATATGGTATCACTACTTTGTTCATAAAATATGAGAAGTTCTCTAAAATAAAATAAAATAAAATAAAATAAAATAAAAAATATCACATTTCAAAACCTTAGAAAACCTTCTGTCGCCATTTCTTAGATACGGATCCATATCTCTGATCTGTACGGAGCTATGTTCTAGACATAAAGCTTTTGAGGCTGTCCATGAATCACGTGATCGATTTCTAAGGTTTTTTGGATCTCTTCTCCTTATTGGTGATACATGGTGATATTTAAAATTAAACCCACCTTATCCCTCACCATACATCACAGTACCTAGACAAAATTTTTGAAAAATGATTGAATGTGCCAACTTTAAATTTTGGTCATATGTTTGGTAAAGTATAGTGACAATTTGTGCCAAGTTTCATCAAAATCGCATAACGCATTTTTGAGAACATACCATCTGTTTAAATGTTAGTATTGAGCTCGGAGCAAGCCACCCATCGACCTCTCATATCTCAGAAACTATTGAACGATTCCACTTGGAATTTTGGTCACATTTTGGGTAAAGTATAGTGACAATGTGTGTCGAATTTCATCAAAATTGCAGAACGCTTTTTTGAGAACATACTATCCGTTTAAATGTTAGTATTGAGCTCGGAGCAAGCCACCCATCGACCTCGCATATCTCAGAAACTGTTGAACGATCCAA